TGTACGTGCATGCCCGCATGTGGTATTTTGTGGAAGAGCCACACTCAAGGGGCCAAAGAGTCGCATGTGGCTCTCGAGCCGCGGTTTGCCGACCACTGGTCTAGGAGGTGACGCTACTGTTAGGCTTTCTGCACACACACAGCTTATCCCCGACAGTCTCCCTCTGGAGAGAGCGAGCGCTGTCCTCTGCGGCGGGGGACAGAACCCCGAGTGAGGTCACAGGAGGGCGTGCCTGCTGTGGGGGGAAGTGGCGGCCGAGTGGGGGGCGACACCACACCTACCAGCCCAGGGAAAGGGCGGCGTCAGGCGGACCGGAAGCACGGCCAGAGGGAACGCTGTTTGGATAACAAACCTACCCCTGTACAAGCGGCCATCACATCTTTACGGTCTATCTTTTTGTGTGAGTGTGTGTGTGAGTGTGTGTGTGCGTGTGTGCGCGTGTGGATGTGCTTGCACGCTCATATAAGCACACACAGGCGGGCTAAGAGTCCACAATAAAATGCCAACAGTGGATGTTTTAGGATCACTGGATTGTGGATGTGCCCTTTAAAGTTTTGTTTTTTTGATTGACGGATCGTATTCCTCTCCTCATAACTGCCCACTGTGGAGGCTGCAGAGGCAGGGCGAGCCGCGTCGGGGAGGGAAGGAGACTGTCTAGTTCAGGTGAAAGATGCAGGAGCCTGGATCGAGGCGGTGCCAGTGGGAAGACCATTGTGAAGCATCGGGAGTGACAGAATCTCAGGAGAGTCGGGGGGGGGTGAAGGTCAGAGAGGACACGGACTCAGGCCCAGTGGCCATCCGAGTGCTTATGGTGACCTTTTGGTCAATGCTTCCCCGTGAGAAACGTTTTTATAACTTCTGGGCCCGCCTCTGACATTTTTCACATATACTAACGGCTTTTCCTTCCTGATGACAAAAGCGACACATGCTTGCTGTCACAGGACGACTGTAACATCCCAATCCCGCTGTGGCCGGGCGCCCGGCCAAGCACTTACGTATCTGAGCAGGGCCTCCTCCCCGAGGGCCCTCACCAGGCCTTTGGTGTCCATCTGTCCCAGCCTGATCACGTAGAGGGGCCGCCCGTCTGCAGGAGGAAGGCAGGTGATTACACGCAACGCTGGGTGTGCGAGGCCGATGAGGAACGCGCCCTCGTACTCGGGACGAGCTTCAAGCCCTGTCCCACTGAGGAGCAGCTTCCGTGTGTACAGGAGCCCCCCAATCTCTTCCCAAAAGATGGTAAAAGGGAAAACAAAAGCCGCCGACAGAGCAGCTCAGCTGGTGGTGGCGACAGGTCTGCGCGGACGAGGGGCGCCCCCTGGGCACCCACTCGGCTCACTTCACACCCAGGACTGAGCAGAGCTCCGCCCTCAGCAGCAGGGCATCCCCCTCGGACAGCTTTCCTGTGAGCAGCCCTGTGCTTCTTCCTTCACAGGTTACCGACAACGCAACGTCAGGGTCTGGGAGAGCCGGCTCCCTCCCTTCCCGCCCTGAACACCAGGGTAACTGAGCACTTTGTGGAATCGTAAACCCCTAACAACCAGCACACGCCGGCTCTGCTTCTTCACAGCTGGAGGCCTCATGGATGGACCTGGGAGGACTCACGCTCTGGGGACAGGCTGGTCACCAGGAGCCAGCTACACAGACGGAAATGGCCTTGATGGCCAGTGTCCCCAGCAGTCCTAGCCCCTCTGCTCGGGGCTGCAGGACAGCAGCGGAGAGGACAGGGTGGCGCTGCTGCTGAGAAGACACCAAGACGCCTCCTGCTGTCCAGGAGGGTCAGCGCTGTCACCCCGACCCGGGGCCACTGTTCCCTGTATCGCCACCTGGAACTGCACCTCCTGGGAGATGTGGTCTAGATCTGCTGCATCTACTGCAGCAAAGAGGGCTTTGTGCTCCCTAGTCTTGTTGAAGGAAGATTTATAAAAACCCCTCCCGGGACTAATTAGATACATTTGTCAGTGTCTTCTACCAAACTTTCCCACCTTTGAGGGTCACAAATGGAATAGATATATACTCCAGTAAAATGAGTAAAGCAACACGTAGCCTGGAGAGGCAGGAAAGGTAAGCCAGGGAAGGGAGCCACCCGAGCTGCTCGGGTGAGAAGCACCTGCCTGGGGGCAGGGAGTTCCGGGCAGCCTGGGGCGGCGCCGCGTCTGGGGTTCCATTCTGGGCGCTGTCTGGGTCGGGGAACAGGGCGCGTGCCTGTGACAGCGCAGCTCTCCCACAGGCGTGACAGGTAAAGCAGCCCAGGAGGGGCTCCCACTCGCCGCGTTTAGGTGGCCACTGTCCTCAGCTTGCTTTTGCTCCTCCCCCGGCCAGAGCTGCCGCCCTCCCCTGCCCGGAGGTGGATCTGGCTGTGCACCCTCACAGGCGCGCCCAGGCACTGGCGTGCCCCCACCAGCACTGTGCTCCTCACAGCTGCCCTCAGCCTCTGGCTTCACGTCCCAAAAGTCCCAAAACTCCACGTCATTCAGAGAGGAACGGAAGTGACTTGCCCAGGGCACCGTGAGGCCTGAGGAGGAAGCAAAGGGCCCGGCCCTTCCTCAGACTCCGGGGCACTTCCCGGTGGCTTAGGAGCGCGATGCTGCGGTGATGACATGGGCATCAATGTGTCCGGGCGGCGGGCGGGGAGGGAGGAGGCCCTCAAGGGCCCACTTCGCTCTGTGGGAGGAGGTCTCCCTCCCAGCACGTCCTGCGTGCACGTCACTCGCTACCTTTGTCGTGGTGGTGCCAGCCTCCCGCGTAGTAGTCCTGCAGGACCTGGGGCGGGTTCCAGGTGTCAAGGATGTAGTCCACCTGGTGCTGCTTGCGCCAGGTCAGCGACTGGCACATGATCTCTCTGGCTTTGTCGATGTTGAAGTCCCGGGCGCGTAAGAACCGGAGAATGTGCTCATCTTTGGGGATCTGTTGAGAGAAGGTGCTGTAAGCAAGCGATGCCGGAAGTTGCTACGGAAAAACACAAGTTACCAAGGGCAAGACTCTCAAACGCTCACTTTGTATCACGAATGGGCTGGCGCTAGCCGGTTTGGCTCAGTGGATAGAGCATCGGCCCACGGACTGAAGGGTCCCTGGTTTCCCTTTACTAAGTAATGCCAGTACGACTAGACACACAAACGTGCCTCTGCTCGCTCCAGACCCCATTCGTCTGAGGCTTATTATAAAACCTGATTCCTTATGAGGCTAAAATTCTACCAAAAACTTCAAAACCAAAGCTCAAACATTTCTCATCTCTGAACAACCTGTGAACTCCTTCCAAACCTTGTAGACGGGTCACTGTTTTCAAGCGAGACCATTCTCCGTGAAACCCGGGGAAGGGCACCCAGCCTGCCAGGGGACTGGTGCCACTAGACCCCGATGCGTGACTTTAGGTTGGAAGGGCAGCCCCAGCCGTGGTAGGCGGGACAGTGACTCTGAGCAATGGTGGGCGAGACCAGGCCCACGGTTCCCCACGGCACACGCGACCAATGCTCACTTTGCCCTTGTGGGTTTCCTGGAGCCACTGGCGCAGCCGGATCAGGCAGCTCTCCTGCAGCGGAGTCAGGTCGCCCAGGTACCTCTTAATGTAGTCTGCGTCCAGCTTGTCTGCAACAGAAGTCACATGCCATCCGTTACAACAAGCACTCCGGAACCTCGGTACCACAGGGCCCTGCTCCGTGAAGCCACGTGTGGTCCAGTCTCAGGACTCAGGGACTCCAGAGGGAACCGGGCCACCCCAGGACACCTCGAGGGCAGCCTTTAAAACCTAATCACTGACCCAGCCCCAGGTGACCAGCTGGATCTATTCTGTTCCCTAGTTGCCAGCACATCCCCTGGATTTGCAAAATCTCAACTATTCATGGCAGAATAATGGCCATTACAGGTATTTAATGACTTTTCATTAAAAGTTATATAAAGAGAACTTACATGATCTAAAACTATGAAATGAAACAAACGGATCTAAACCTGTTTTAAACAGAGCTGTGTTCAAGAAGACAAGAAGTCTCTTTCATGCTAAGGTAGCATAAACTGCAAAAATGAGGTAGAAAATTAAGCACAGCAAAGAAAAATTCACAAGGTGCAAAACAGGACACAGGCCCAACCGGGGAAACGCCTGCCACCTGCTGAAAGCAGCAAACGGCCTAGTTTAGCTGCAGAGAAAGGCGCAGAGAAAGGTAAATATCAACAGTTTTACAAGGCTCCCGAGTGGTAGAATTTTCTTGTATTTTCTTATTTTACAATGGGCTTCACTCTGAGAAATGAAAAAGGTGTGTGTGTGTGTATGTGTGTATGTGTGTGAGTGTGTGCACACGCACAGCCCAGCTGACGCAGCCTCGGAGCCTGCCACGAACAGCTGTGTGACTCTACGCAGGTGCCTCCGCGCCTCGGTGCCCCGCGGAGCACTCCCGACCCACCAGGCCCATGTGAAAGGGGTTCACAGAGTGCTTAGGACAGGGCCCGGCACAGTGAGTGCAAAGCGACGACGCAGAGCTGTGTTAAAGCCGTAGGTGCCACCCTGCATTCACTGAAGATGCGATCAGCTACAGTAAGTGGAAGACATTTCTGGTGTCATAACTTGACGTGACCCTTCCGCCCATTGAAGACAGACTGGGCGTCTTCACTCTGAGACACCTCGATGAAGTGCTGCGTAAGCTGGAGGAAGGGGGCCTGCGCGAGCTGCGTCTCCTCCTACGTGACGTCTAATGTCCTACGGGAACTAGAGGCAGAGTCACTGGAGAGGAAGCGACCCACCATCGGGGGTCCCCGCGGCGGGCTCAGAGGCCCCGCTCGGGCTGCTGAGGGCCTCGCTGCTCAGCCCTTCCTTC